CAAAAACTTTGATAAACTGCAACAGCAAAAACTTTGATAAACTGCAACAGCAAAAACTTTGATAAACTGCAATAGCAAAAACTTTGATAAACTGAAACAGCAAATCAAAAACAAGTTATTAAAAAGAAACCTGATTAACAATCGGAGCGAGTACAAGAAACGAAGGTTGTTAATAAATATTAAGTGGATTCTCACAAAATTAGAGAAGAAAAAATCACAGGGAAATATCTAAAAGTCATTGGAATCATATAATATGCGTTTAAAAATTTTTAAAGACAACTCATCTAAAGAATCCAGTGTCACAGATGTTACACATGTACAATGAATTTCTAATTTTATTATCAAATATGAAAAAAATAGTTTACAATTTAATTTTTAAAATGAAAAAAAAAATTGTAAAATTATTTATTCTGTCAATTGATTCATGCATTGTCTCCAACTTTATGCAAGTGTGCCAAATTTCAGATCGATTGGACAAGTAGAAGTGTGTTAAATAGCGATTATAAGATTTGTGGCAGACACAAACAAACAACAAGAAGTGAAGTTAAAGAGAAGTGTTGTAATAAATAGGCTTAAACGAAGGAATGAAGGCTCTGAGTTTAAAAATGCTTTATCAAGATGAACTCAAAATCTGCTAAAGATTTCTAAATAAAGATATATATATATATAAAATAAACGGCAGATAATAACTGATAAATATCATTTTTCGATGTAGTAATCCAAATTATTGTAGAAAAAGTGAGTCACTTTCCATTTCCCTCTTAAGTGAACAGAAAATTTTGCATTGCAATTACGCTAGTGCTCATACTTATTTATTCATAAAACGTTTCACATTTTAATAAATATGACGCAAAGGTTCGGCTGTTTAAAAAAATAGTTCGGCAATCTAAGAGTTCGACAATTTAAACATTTTTATTTTTCAGTAAAATTTCAGCTGAACCATGAGGAAAATTCATCACTTTCCGTGAATACATGCAGCAGCTAGCAACAGCACCATGGCTGTGGGATCGCAGGCCACATATAGACGATGATTGGCCAGCGATATGCCGCCGAAAACTTCAAACGTATTAAATGGAAACTTAGTCATGTGTTCACGAGACGTACACCTGTGTCTCTAACGAAATATGAGGTTTTGTTAACAAAGACAAGTGTGCGAACTGTTCAATAGAAGCTATAACTACGAACATGTGTCATCTTATCGATCACAGCAAATTTTCTAACGTGAAGAATGAACAAAGACTTGTTTGAACAAAGAAAGTTGTTTGAACAAAGACTTGTTGGAACAAAGACTTATTTGAACAAAGACGATGCAAGTTGAATTTTTGAGGAAGTTTAACTTGAAATTTTCATTAGTGGTTACTAAAAGCGAGAAAGAAAAATGTAATTCAATATATTGTTTTCTCTGAATTTACTTCGAATGTACGAGAATTATTCACAATTTGTTTCGAGAATATTATTTATGAAAGACGACATTGAAGACCATGGAGAGAAAATTCAATGAAAACTTATATAAAATATAAAAAAATTATGTTCGAAGCTGTGAGCGCCTTTTTACCTGCAGTAACATAGACATTAGAAGAGCATGAAAGAGTATGTCAGTGTTGAGGACCAAGCGTTATTTCTAATTTGATGTTTCAGATAAACGAACTTCACAACCATTTTGGAACTTCTTGAATCAATTTTTTGACTCAAAATTTTACTATAAACTCTATTGATGGTCACAGAAAATACTCTTTCTATGAGAGAATGGATGTTTTTTACCTTTCAATATTTTTCTGTTCATATATTACCGTTCACCACACTACTTTGTTGCTCGAGCTCACAAAATTATTACGTATATAATCTTTATGATCACTTTCAGAACGAAAAAAACATATGCGCTGAACAGTATTAAACACATGAACAATTTCAACAGTATTCAACTTAATCATATAGAAAATTATTAAACATTAAAAACGCTGAATTATACTTGCGTCTATTTATTTCATGAAAAGAGAGGCGTACCCATCTCTCTTACAGTTGTAGAATTTACGTTTTGTGTTGTAGATCACTTGTTCTCATCGGACTCTACTTATATCGCATATGTTTCCCTGTTGGATAGCTAATTAATACTCATTTTCAATCTAGCTACTACACGATTCTAGTAAGGTGGCCTCATCTTTTTATTTTTCAATTATTTATGTACATGAGATTAGTTGAGCAGTTTTTGAACGTTTACGCATATATTTATTTAAAAAAAATCAATATTAAAATTTTTTTAATAAAGTCACTTTACTCTAAAAATTGTGTAGAAGTAATTCAGAGACTGGAAGACAACATAGAAAATTAATATTTTAAGAACATTAAAATACCAAACAGTGCGATGAATATTGAAATTTTATTCGTTCTGGATTGATGCGGTGGACACGTGTGTCTGGAGCTCCGAACACTCACAGCTCACTTGCATTACAATGATAGATCAGGCTGGTCGATAATTGTATTGATACACGTGTAATCAATGCATCTGCCACGTTTACTCGATTGTTTTTCGTAAGTTTTACCGAAAATTTCTAATAACATTAATGATTGTCATAAGAAGGCTTTGTCAGTCCAGCAGTAAAATTTCTCTTTTCATCTTAGTAATTTCAGACAAAGACTTTTCAAGACAAAGACTTCACATAGACAAAGATTTCTCAAAGACAAAGACTATACAAAGATAATGATTTTACAAATACAATGACTTTACAAAGACAAAGAATATGAAAATACATAGACTTTTAAAATTGACAATGTCGAGCCCAAAAAGTTACGTTACCAAATTTAAACAAAGCATAAAAATATACAATTTATCCATAGCCTAGCACCGCATTTTAAAATTTGAAAAAAATTTAAGTTTTTCCCAGGCGACAAGTTGATGAGCGTATTTTGTTTACCTGCATTTAAATGCGACTAATGACGAGAAGTGAAAGTTGGATGAAGGTATCAAAAATGCGTTTGACATTGTAGCGGCCATAACCATGAATTTTAAAAATTGTAATTAAAAATTTAAAAAGTTCGGACCTCTTATTGAACTTGTTATTCAACATCGATGAAATATTTTTGAAATTACACCAAACTCTACGATTCAACGGAAACTTGAAGAATTATTCTAACGAGGTAAAATCCTGGATAGCACAGCGAAGAAGCAGGCTCAAGTAATTACTGAATCAGTAATCCACAACACCAGCGAAACTTTGTTAGACCTTGTAGGAGTTTTTGTATGCTGATTAAAATGAGATTTTAGGTTACGGTTTAAACCTGGTTATCGAAAGTCAACCACTAATTATTAAATTTTAGCATTGAAAAAATGTGGCTTAAGTGGAACGTGGTGTGCTTACAAGCATTAATTCCATTTTACCGATATAATCGAATAATTTGTTGTTTTAATGTCGCCATGAAATTTTCATCACTCGCATCCGAATATACGTAGTTCTAGCTTTAAATGGTGCTAGTTCTACTGAATAGATATAAAATGTTATCTAGAAGATTACATTTTGGATGGCTAGTAGCTCATTAATATTATAGATACATGGATATTATTTATCCAGAAAAATGTAAAAGGGCCGTGAGCAGAAATATTTGGGAATTGTAGTTTCGCTCTCAAATTATTGTTCATAATTAGAGTAGTGATCAAAATAACGTCAGTTAATAGATTTATTGACACTGTTCGCAGTTTCGTGTTGATTGGCGTAGGTTGTTTGACGTTTTATTCAGGTTTCCATTATTATTCTGAGATCATTCGAATTATTTTCTCCTATTTATATCTCATTATTGAAGTCTAGGTTGTTTTCAGCTCCAGCTGGAACGGAAGATGCAGCATTGAGGTAGTAAATTATTGAATTATTGTCAGTTCTTGTTTTTTTGTTTCCTATCATTATATTAGATTTCGTTTAATTTTGTTCTAAAAATTTTATCTCTCGAAATTTTTTATCTCTTTTGAAAATTCAGCATTACTCATTACGTTTTCACGTTACCATCACAGTTTTCACTTCTGGTACAACTGTATGACTCTTCGTGGTAGTGAAACTAGATCAGGGGAACACATTTATTTCAGTTAGAGGCCAACACAAGAAGAGCCGTTACTTAGGAAAACAACTACGCGTCGCGGTCACGTCAATGTGTATCTCAGCTTTATGCTTCCTATGATACTACGGTACAACAACGCGATAAGTCGTTACTTCCTTCAGTTTCGTCGCGTCACTGCTTACAGTTACTGATGCTAGTAGTGATGAAGTTGGTTGCTATTCCCTACAGTTCCGGTGCGCCATCACTATTTGCAGTTATTCTGTTCGGTGGTCAAGAGAGGTGTTGGGTCCAAGCCTTTGTTCCTGATGATGGTGAGAGTTTTCTTCACCAGCTCCTCTGACGGCTGCCGGTCGCGCGTGAGCACCCACATAAACTCTGCGGGAGGACATGCCAATTCAATTCATCAAATAAAAATGTCATGTTGATTCATAAATAGTTTTCGAGTGTGGTATATTGATTGAAATTCCCATTCGAGTACGCTTAGAAAGATTATTGCAAATTATTTCTACCCATAATTTTGAATTGATACCAATATGATTGGACAAATTGTGGGAGAAATTGAAGGACATCTGTTTTTAACAAAACCTGAGATTAATATTTATATGTTTGGTAGTTTTTAATATTAATTATACCGGACTGATATCAATTATTTTTAAATTCATCTCTAAACACAGATCCACAATTAAATGAAACCTCTTAATGCAACCAAACAATAAGGCTAACTTATCATCATCACTAAACTCCACTGATAAGACGTTTAAAATGACCACTTTCTAAATAATGAGGCGCTCAAAACTGAATACGAGAACACGTAGAGTTTAGTAGAAACTACAGTTAACTGGCACATAAAATAAAACAAGATTAGTGAGACTTTATAAATCAATGACAGAACAATAATGATAAAGTGAACAATTAAATCAACTCTCATATTAAATAAACCACGATATTAACCCTTTACGCCCTGGCGTGACGAATTCGTCACACCAGGGACTAGCTACTTTTTCCAACAATTTCACGTTTTCTGTCATTGTTTCGAAAAATTCACATGAATAAAAAAAGTCTTAGATTCATTTTTTACATATGTGTACCAAGTTTCAAAGTTATCTGTCAGTAAATAACCGATATATAATTTCCAATTTCCAATGGCAATGTCCAATTTCTGATGGAAATTCTATTTCGGTTATTTACTAACAGATAACTTTGAAACTTGGTACACATATGTAAAAGATAAATCTAAGACTTTTTTGTTCATAGGAATTTTTCGAAAAAAGTGAAAGAAAAGGTGAAATTCTTAGAAAACCTCCAAAAAGGGGGTACTGTAGAAATCTATCTCCTCCTATGATTTTTAAGCTACAACATCGAGACGCATATCATTCGATGCGTAAGGACCATATCTATCGATTGGTCCTTGCTGTTTTTCAAAATTCTGATTTTTGTGGGTGGGGTGGGCATTTTTCGAAAAAAATTATTTCTCCCCCCACCCTTTCGAATTTCCCCTCCCCTTTTTTCAAAATATTTTCAAAACTTTATCGAAATTGAAAAAAAGCTTCGACCAATCTCTAGATCTTTTATTTGCGAATCGAACGGTTTATTACTCATTGCTGTAGCTTAAAAACTCTGGGAGGAAATAGGTTTGCAGTGACAATAAGTGTGAATGTTCAGTAGAGCGCGATAAAGTCCCGAGCGCCTCGAAATAGGCATTCAAGGTGACATGGATGCAAGACTAGACATTACTGGAGCCGAAATTCAGTCAAGGATAGTGGGAACGACTGCATGAGCACCATCCCACACGACAGCAGCCGGGTAACTAAAGATCAGCGTCTTCAGGTTGCATCTTTATGTGCCCAACCAGTAATTTTCGCCTATATTAAATGTGAAAGAACTCCCCCACCCCTAGCACTTTCACGAACTGTCGTCAAGGCATAAATCAACGTGCAGAGATGATTTTGGTACCATTGGATAGGTCAGAATGTCAGCTTCGAAGTGAGACTTAAAACCGAAAAAGTGAATTTACGATTTTTGTCCCAGAAATTCAGGGCGTAAAGGGCTAACAGATCGACACCGATTGCTTCATCTTGCACTATTATTTCATTTTTTTACTATTAGGAAACAGGGTTGCCATAAGGTCTTTTTTCCGGACAAATTCCGCGATTTTAGTTTTTTTTCAACTGCGTTGGCCGGCTAAAATTTATGATAAGGGTTCTTCCTAATTAAATAAATAAAAAATTAAATTTTTACAACGGAAACTAGGAATAAACCAGTATATATTGAATTAAAGTCCTTTTATGGCCTTTTTTGTTCGCGGATTTGGTCGTTTTTGAGCCATCCTGTAACCTTGAATCATGAACCACTACGTGCTGGAGAAATACATTTCGTGGTACGCTTATGTACCTCTTTGGAGTCAACGTGTTAATAGAAAAACGTTTTTTAGCGAATGCGAGAACACCTATAATAAAGTGGACTATAATAATATAAAAGGAAGCAAGATGTTATTAGTCTGGCGTTCATTTATGATTGAGTAAAGACGTACGATAACTTAATAAGTTGAGGAAGTTGGTGCAGCTTCAGACGACAGCGTAGGAGTTGTAGTCGGTGTCCAGCACCCAGTAGTTAGAGTCCGTCACTGCGTTGTAGTTGTTGGCAACTGCATACACGCAAATAGTTTAATCAATTATCTAATGTTGGAAAGTTAAAAGTTATTATTTGAACTTGCTTGTTGTGGAGCGCATTGAACCAAGATAAACATAATGGTAATTTAGGCCCAATGCAAAGATTTAGCTTGAGTTAAAAATTTCCATTTTAGAATGATGAACGCAGTGAGAGAATTAACAGCATATGACTGACTGATTGTGAGAATGCATGAAGGAGAGGTTATTGCACGGTCGAATAAACCAGTATATGCCTATGCGAAGTAAAGCTTTGAAATTGGAAAATCTAAAGAATTTAACTGCTAATATATAATTTAAATTGTTATAAATTATTGGGAATAAAGTTCATTTGTTGGGAATAAAGTTCAAGATTATAAACGCATAAAAAGCCATCACACTATAATTATAGGCTGATGTGAGCTCCTAGATACTGACATGGCGTCGGAGAGGAGAAGGCAACTGAGAGCTTCCCTTCCTTGTTGCTAGGGTTGGCGAACTTGGCCTGCCCTACCACGCCGCTGGGCGTCCAGCTAGAAGCTGCGATAAATGAAAACAAATCACAAAGTTAATTAAAAATGAAAACATATTAAAGATACAATGTAAAACAAAAAAAAAATAGCACATGGGAAATAATTTAGGCCATGAACCAAAAATTAAGTTTGAAAATTTAAGCTAATGGAAATAGATAATATTTATAATAAAATAACAATAAAAACGGACGAAAAATNAAACCAGCCTTGACGCACTCGCACTTGAGTAAAATATCAGTGAATTAATTGAGCACTAAGCATTCGGTTCTAAATGTGGAATTGAAATATTTACAGTTTATTATTTTCTGTTTTACATATTGATTCACGTTCCGTCGGTTGTGAGACGTGTTAGAAGAAATAGTCCGGTGAAGTGAAGGAAAAGAAAGCCTAAAAATAAAAAAATCCCTTTTGTGTAGTGAAGCTTCTTGTTTAATTTTAGCTTCCAGTGTGATGAATTAATTCATAATTTGCTGGCTGTTTGGTATTAGCCTCTATAATTTGTAGAACAACATCAAAGCCAATTACTTGCTAGTGTAATTTATCCATCATGTGTGATTGAATATTACATAACAAATTAAGAGTCAGTATTGAATTACAATTATTTTGCTTAAAAGATTCATGCAAAAAATACTTGCTCGACAATTAGGAAACAGTTAGAGGAAGACTTGGGTTACCGAGGTTTATTACCGATTTATTTAAATTTCGAGCTTGACCCATAGGTCAAGCGGAAATGAGCTAATTGTATTATACTTTTTGTATCACCCTTTCTTAAAGGAGAATTCAAATTTAAATGTGAGGCCAATGAGACCTAACTGAATGATTGGGTTTTTTAATTACGAATGATGTGGATCCAATCACCTTAGGGAAAAGAACATAAGCCGATTAACAAATTTGAATTAATATATCAGTAATATTATAAAATAAATAACAGTTTACTTACTTTTTTGGCGTCGAGGTTCGACACCACGGACGGGTTGGGGCAAATTCCAGGGTACACCACTTGCGCATGCGCGGCAATGCTCAGCAAGCACATGATCAACAACACGAACTTCAACATTTCTGATGATATTTCCGCTAATTCAACGACTGTTAATTAAATCAAAACAATTTTCTGAAAAATTAGAGAATGTCATTCATGGAATCTCATGTCAAATGCAATCAATACTAATTGCCATGAATAAATTTCACTTGATCTGATTTATTTCGTTTGTTATTGGCATTGAATTTCAGGCTTATTTGTTACAATTATTATTTAAATTATTACAGATGACGCCCTATACAGACGTCCGTTCTGCACCGGCACTCCAGCATGCATTACCATGGTAGCACGTGACTGTAAATTACGTTAACAGGAGCAATTAATGCTTTAATGATATCATCTCCGAATAAAATTTATGGTGTTATAATAATTCATAACAAATGAAATGCCAGCAATCATCAATCACTTCATTTAAAAAATTTGTAGCGTTCTATTCTCCTCGATTGTATTAACAGAAGTCTTAAAATTATACTGTTTGATTTATAACTAATACTGGATTATGACTACTGAAATATTAAATGTACGCCACGAATATAATGAATATTTTTATTCGAGTCTATTTGGGCTTCAACAAATATCCGGCCAAACTGATCAATAGTGAATGGGAGACTAAATATATAGCGCGGCACCGATTATAAAGCAACTATAGTAATAACTCTGTGCTTTAACAAAATATTTATGGGAGGGTGCTAGTCCTGCCACGCTTGTCTGCATGCATCTAACGACAGTGAGATTAACGTGCATTATGACTCAAGGTTGATGATCAGAAACCATGTCAAATGAAAGCTTTTCCGCGACTTGGCGATTAGGTGGCAGCACAAACTGGCATATCGTGTGAATCATTATGCTTGAACGAAAAAATTTTTTATACGATTTTAAACTGTAAATTTTCAGTTAATGGCACTCGAGTTCACTGAGAGCTGTTGTCGTCACTTGCTCGGACAGACTTTAACTGAAGTACGTTTATCTTCAGTCTGAGGGCCTGCCATTGCTTATATACTAGAGAGTAATGAAACGTTACGTACAGGATGGCACAGCTGGATGGCTTTAATGAGCCAAATATCGATTCTTTAAAAATCGTTGAGTTCATTTGCTTCACGTGTGTCTTTTCTTGTGGTTCTCCCGTATTGTTCGATTCATACACTTAGTACCGGTATATACATTAGAAATTTAGTGGATAAGATGAACTTTTAAGAACCAATCTCGCTTGTAATACCATTATATGTAAGCCAGAAACGATTAATGTTTGGCCAATATCTGTGTGTTTAATTAAATAAGCTGATATTATGATGTTAGCTGTATTTTTCTGCAGTCTACCTGATTAAAGTTAATGGGAAGTTCTTCGTCAATAACTAACTCCTTAGTTAATGGCCCGATATTTCTGAAATTTTGTTCACATGAGTAAAACACTAATACAAACGCTTTCTTCTGAATTCTTGCTTAAATAGGGTAGAAGATGTAAAATTGCAAAAAATAAGAAAAAACGAGGGGCATTAAAGGGTAGAAGAACAGATTTAGAATTTAAATTTCGCAAAAATTTTATTTTGTTCATAGAACATACGTCTATCTACTGTGGAGCACCTTATTTTATTTATTGTTATTATTTTATTGACTTTTAATGCTTTTCGACTCTCCTCCTAAAACACTCTTAATTTTTACTATGAATCAAACCAAAAAAAAAGCGAAATCGAATGGTATTGCTCACAATATTGTAGTTCCAGAATGGAAGGAGTTATTACCTTTTTCTGTTAAAAATTTTATTTTTTCAGAAAAGATAATAAAATGTAGGAGCTTTTTAAACAAAAAGTAAAAAGTGAAAATAATTGCTTGACATTGATACCATTGGCTACTCTTGAAATAAAAATTAATAATGTTTGTTTATTAAAATTAAAACCACTTCGCTGCCTTCACTTTTTACATTGGATCTAAGTATCGATTCTCGGTGCTCGTGTCTTTATAATTAAAGAATCTTCAATAGCTGGAGAATCAAAGAAAGATCATTTAAAGTACAGCAAGTGTTCGCTCTCACCATATTTTGTGTATGAAATCAATACCCGTGTCCCCAAGTCACATTAATAAAATCATTTTTAGAAGAGCTGTCTGCATAATTCTTCATAGAAGAGGACTTGCGAATATGTGAAGGAAAAACGTAGATATTGTATCACTGAATTGGTCTTATATTATGATTCATTTTCATATCGTTAAATAAACATGAACTTTCCTCCGAGTTAGTTCTTGTTATGACCATTAGTATATTGATGATAATTCTATTTTGTTACGCGAACACATGCCAGGACTTGGTTCTGACTATAACAAGCGCATTTCATAATCCAATTTTGTAAAAATTATTATTAGTTCAAACCCTGCAACACTGCGTGGAATTTTTTCTAAATTCGATGCATAATTACTGAGGCGAAAATTAAGTGTGCCTTTTTATTTGAACTAACGTCATATGACTTATACTGATGTACATGCTTTAATGTACTTACATGTATTCGACTGCATTAACAACGAAATTAGTTTTTAGACAGAAGGAGCAAATAATTTTTTGGTTTGGTAAAAATTTTCGGAGTAGTAATGACGCAAGCGTGAACTACGATATCGTGGTTCACGAAAATTTATCTTAATTTATTATGGTTCGCTAAAATGAAAGGATTAATTACCGTTGATATTTTATTATTCAACTATACAGAAAGCCGTAACTTCATTTGAAAACTAAAACTTCCGAACACCTGAGCAGCGATTGTCGCAAAGTATTCACTAGGAAAAAATCGATGGACTTCCGTTTGAAAATCCAACGAATGAATAGGTATTATTTCGCAAGTGTAGTGGAAAATCGATTAATGACGAAGAATTTACGTTCAAGATCAATACTAATTCACCAAAGATCAATACTATTAGTTTATTGTTTGTGGATATTATAGAGTTGGGCGAGATTTGGCACCTGAATAGCTGAAATTTTTTAACATTTTTATGGGCTCATTTTACTATAATTTAGCATAAATTCAAGTAATTAGTTAAAAGTAGCTTATAATAATTAGTTGAAAGTAGCTTATAATAATCTATTGAAGTTTGGAAGACTGACAAAATAGACCTATTACTTTCCTTCTTCAAACCATTTTAAGCAGTTGTTAGGGATTACAATAGGTTCGTTAAATTTGTCATATCCGTTTTGATTCACCACCGATGACTTTGCAAATAAATGTTTACTTATTTGCCATTGCTACGTGATCCACCACAGAGGTTAGTACTTGCATTGTTTATCGTGTGTTAATCTTCGTGTTGATATAATGGTGGCCTTTTTTGTGATATTTAATATTATTATTTATATTAGTTTTATTTATGTGTGTTATATTCATTTGTTAGAGTTCCGGTAATTCAAGTCCTTGATTTGTATTTATTCGTGCTTTTTCAGCGGGGCTCCGAACTTAGGACGTTTTTACGATTTGATAGGCAAGGGCCCGAAAGATCAGTTTTCTTCATCCTTTATTTGCGATCATTGGCCAAGTGTTCTGGGTCAGAGAATGCTTATTTATTTATTGACTAGTCCCCAACACAGTTAATGTGGCAATGAAACCTTCGACTGCACTTGCAAAAAATGTATTTTGATTCTCTATTTTTTTTTTGCGCTCTAAAGTCCTTATAAAAGAGATGAATCATTCGTTTCGTCTTTATTTCAGGCTCAGCTAAGGATTTCTTAAGGAAATTAAGTATTATTCTGAAATTATTTACCTACATTTTGGTAAACGATTTAAAATTTACGTATTCCTCCTTGTTATACATGCTTGCTTTCCTAGGTATACATCACGAATGTCCCATAAAACTGCGGGACTGATGAAATAAAACAAAAAAGTAGCCCACAGAAAGAAGTTTCTGATCGTCAGAAGAAAACATTTTGAAGATATACCAATATACGGAAAAAATATTTTTATTTTACAATTCGTTTATCTTATGCAAAGGAATTTTTCGCACCTGCC